GAGAGCCTTCCTCTCAGTAAAACTTCCCTGAATATACAAATTAAATTCTAATATCCTAACATTTCCAAATATGTTGGTACAGAGACTCAGAAAAAAGTAATTATGTTTCTATGCAGATTTAATGATAAGCTCAGTCGGCTCAGTTTTTAGACTGTACTGTTAATGCAAAAGTGCTGTCTGACAGACAGGCAGCGCCTTGACACAGACAGTAACCAATAGCTGTGTAAAATGAAGGAACAAGTGTTTAAGCACCTCCTACAGCCTCTCCCAGTCCTCTTTACTGTTACATAATCACTTATCAGTGCGCTAGGCTTGTCCCTGGATGCATTTTCTGCTTCTTCTGTGTGAAACAGTCGTGTGCACGTACGTTTGGCTAAGGACTATCAAAAAATGTCCTGAACACAAATGTGCATGTGCCTGTGTTTGATGTCAATCGATGGTAGCAAAAACTCCCTGAACTGCACATGTAACATCAAACAAAACACACTTGCACACAACAAAGCTCATCTTCCTGTCTGAGACACTGTGATCACATCACACTGACACATCCACTAGCCTGCCTCGTCAAATGGGGTTAAAACTGGACTCAGAGACAGTCAAGCAAGACGTTGAGACGCCTGATTACTGCGAAACTCTCCCCAACTTATTTTTCAGTAAACAACACTAACAAACTGTAACTATCTCATTCTTTTGCGCTCTTTTCCATCTGTCAAGTGATTGGGCAATCCTGGCCCTCATCTCCAGCTCTGGCTCTCTCTCAGGGCATATTTCGAAACTATTCTGGATGGAACACCAAACATGTGGTCAGTTGACCAGTACGCCCCCACACCATTCATGCCCAAACCACTGTATAGTTGTAGCCAGAGAGTGAATTCCACTTCTTGTTAAGACTACTGTTGAGGAACACAGGTTTGGAGTTGAGTATGAAAATTGATGATGATTTTTATCACCACATATTCGGTGTCAAATCAGCTCCTGAACTAGGCTAAAAAGAAACAAGAGAGCAAAAATAGGTCTGATAGTTAACTGCGTGTGTGTATCCTAATCAGGTTGATTATACATCTGCCCAAAGTTCATGTCTAGACGCCAAATTTTAATCACAACAAAAAATGACTGTATTGCTTTGAAGTATCTTGTCCCATGCAACAAGATGACATATTTGCAGATAAGAAATGAGTTTATGGCTTTAAATGTCACCAGCGTCTCTGTACCTGTTTCTGGGGACAGGGATGTGGGAGGAAGGGAGGGGTTGTCCCTCTGTCGGTACGTTCCGCCCTTGCGCTGCCCTGAAGTTATTGGCCAGCTCTGCCTGTTTCCCTGGGTTCCTGATGTCCAAGTGCATGAAGCCGCCTGGCAACTGCCCGTTTATGCCTGGGCAGTGAGTAGGACTGGCCCTCTTCAGGATCCCAGTGGCACCGGTGTCTTTTTGGTCCCCCAGGCCAGTCTAGAAAAATGAAGCAGTAGTAAATTAAAGTCAATCATTTTAAAGCCAATTATAAGCATGGCTACATCAGAAGCATCATGTGATATGCGACAGAAAGAGGTTAACCATTTGCCTTCACTAGTAAATTTACATGACTCTGCATGACTTTCTTGGGTTTTTTTTTTTAAACCATAGATTTCCAATTTGACTCATTGGTCACAAAAACCCTGAAAGTAAATTCATTCACATGACAGTGTTTGTTTTTCGACAAACCATACCAGAAAAAGAAAGTCACTTCCTAAATATTTCTTTTAAAACTTCCTCTCCCTTAAATATCCCAGAGGTTATTGTTGTTGAGGCACTGCACATAAACCTTCAGGAACCAACCAGAATGAAGGCGATCCCAGCTCAAGATACCTGTTTTCTGTTTCAGCTGCCTTTTTACACAAGGTTTGGAAAAGACTCTGTATAGGTAAAACTAAGTAATGCATTGTGAAAAAATAAAATTCAGACTTTCTTAAGAGTGCTGTGATTTCTTCAGTTTGCTTGTTTTATCTGACCAAGAGTACTAAAGCTAAAGATTTGTAATTACTGTCAAATATAACAAGAATAATATTCATTCAAATATTCAACCTACAATGAAGCCTTGGTTCATTTTTAACTGCCTTTATCACAGTGTGGTGTTAAAATAAACAGACACAGCAAGTGAAGTTATTTGAATAACATGCTATCTGATCCATCTCAAAAGTAGGTGTGGCAATTTGCCATCTATGCATATTTGATGTGGCACGGTCAATTAGTAGCTATATGACATGATTAAATTACTGACCCTGCAAAGAGAAACGCACACGGGCCACAAGATGCTGAAAAGGCAATGCAAAAAACATGCAATGCAAGTAAAAACAAATTGCAAACAAACAAACAAACAAACAAAAAACTACTGCACTTGAGAAAAATATATCTGTACAGTCACTATATGAGCTGAGGAGCCGGGCCGTGCTGTGCAGCCAGGAAGCCCTCACTGTAACTCCACCCTACATGTATGGGGGAGGGGGGTATGGCTAGTAGTTTGAAGTCCCTGCCCCCCTTTTTCTGTAAACTTTGCACATAAAATGATCCGCCATTTAAAAGCGGTTTTTTGACGTAAGTAATAACTTGCGAACAAGCGCTGACAGCAGTTGCGGGAACACTTTACAAAAGTGGGGCTAATAGTTATAACTGTGGTACTCAACACACAATGCACAGTAGTTGGAGTCAAGAGTGAGCTCCACGGCCGCTTACTTACAACCGTAAAAACGTAATAACGACGCGTGAGAGCTGTCAAACGCATCATTATACAGCGTAATGACAGGTTAACGTTACATGCTTCATATTGTGTGTCGCAACTTGCGTGTGCAAGTCGGACTTCGCCGGCTTAATGGGAGTCGTGCGTTTTTTTGTTTTTTACACTTACTTTTTCCATGTCGTGAGATATTCGACCAGCCGGAGAAAGTCCGTTCCCTTTTGAATAGCTTTGCTCGCCTTTAACCTCCGCCGCCGAGCCGCCGTCCATTACAAATTTGTAGAGGACCGACCCGTTTGTTGTGTACGCCGGCGTGGGACCGTTTCTCTCCACCGTGGGGACCCGAGTGTCGCGGAGCACGGAGCGGCCTGCCCGGCAGTTAAAATCTGCACCACCTACCCTTGCCCCAACCGGCGACTTCTCCAAAATATATCTGGAATCCATATTCAGATGGAGACTAAAGAAAGAAAACCAGCTTTCTATAGATTTTAGTGCAAACTGCTGGCGTTAGATACATTTATCAAGATTGTCGCGAGTTGATAGGTGTTATCTGTGTCTTTTAAACTTCTATTCTAGTCTACATGTAAAGTTTTCCACCAACGCCGCCACCACCACTACCCAGGATATCCAAAAAGCCGCCCGGTCAGGAGGATAAAAGATTGTTTTGCCTCTTTCCTCCAAAAGAATGCCACGCCCCCTCAACTTCACTCCCATTGGTCCGCTGCGCACATAAACATTCCATTCTGGCACGCGTCCACGGCGAGGCGGCTTCTGATTGGCTGGTTTCGCTGCGTCAATCACTTTTTTTTCTAATCCAAGTGCTGTGGGTGGAATAGGGGAAGGGGGCGTGTCTACAGTTTACCGGCCGGTGTCTGTCTCGACGACGAAGAAGCCGGCAAGAGGGAGAGCACAGGAAAAAACAGCCTGTAGGCCTCAGCAGCAATACTGCGCATTTATGTTTTCTGCTTATCAAAATGGGATTTAGGGCATTATGTTTTTACCGTACTTTACAACAGGGTTATAATCGATGAAATAAATATGTCTGGCCAGATTGTTTCATCATTTGTCCACTAAATGTATTAAAAATACACAGATGTATTTAGTAATCCTGTAAAATGTTAGATTTACTACTAAAGTTTTTATCTTTTTTCACCAGATGTCTCCAAACAGAACTGTGAGTGCCTTTGTGGAGATGTGCAGTTCATAAACATGGTCAAACAACAATTATTATTGAAATATATAATGCCATTTGTTTTTAAATTTCAGTTGTTGGAGGCACCTCTTTCTCTAACCTATTCTAAAATGTCTGCAAAAGCATTCTTCATTTCTGGTTTATCGCTTAACTTTACAGAAACACATTTTATTGCAAGCTGCAGTTATTGCAAGCTACACTTATTACTGTGTGGGTGCTACAGAGCCGTAACAACTGACATCTAGTTGCTGCCTGGTTTAATACCTTGTGCAATGCAATAAAACTACAGGCAAGAGACAAACACGTTATAATGTGCCACTTTATTAGAAAAGTAAAAACTCACTTTAATATTTTATGAAGGTTAATATAAAACATTACAATCTTTTGCATATCTGCACTGTCACACTGTATTTTATTATATTTATTATTTTTTAAACTAAACCCTGTGCTTTAAGAACATACAACATTGGCTACAGCTGTCACAGCAGTATTGGCCCATAATTATATCTGTAGACAATTAACAAACAGCATCTGTATCTGCATGGAAAGCATGAAACATTTTGCATCCACAAAGTACAATGTGTCTGTGATAACCATCTTTTTTTTTCAACAAATATACTGTATACTGTATGTTACATTGGAACAACATCAGAACAGCAACAGAGTATTTTACACATTTACATCATCATACTGTATTTGTTTGTGCAATGAACATCTGTCTTGATCAGTGAATAACAGTGTTCAGCAAAATATATCAGATCAGTGCTTTCTCTCAGGATAAAGAAAATGTGACACATAAAGTGACAGCCAGAGAAAAAGGATTAAGTGTGATAGTGGTTTCCAGCCAGCATTGTCTAGGGGAAGCCTCAACAGAGCTTGTTAAGTGTCTCAGCTGTTAGCCATTTCTCATATCAGGCAGTAGTTGAGCCGTTGGTGCATTGTTGATATCAGACTGGGGTTGGCCTGACCCACAGCCTCCTCCCCCCCCCCCCCAACC